GTTGGAATAGTAACACAGTTTCAACAAGATGATAACAATACTGCTTTAGTAACTGATTTGCATATATTTAAGCAACTTAGAATACCAGACGTATTTACAAATAATATTAAACAATGTTTACAAAGGAAAGTTAAGTATGCATATGGGTTTGGAAAGATGAAGAAAGCTCTTAATTTAGCTCTTGATTTGGGATGTGAAAATGAAATTATTGATATGATTAATAAGTTTATTAATTGCAAGAAAAATATTATTAAAGATGCAAACAACGATGAAAACAATGAAGAAAATCTACAGATTTTAGATCCTATAGTTCAGAAATGACGTGGACGTCCACCAAATAAACGGATTAAGTCAGCCTCAGAGACAAATTCACGTCATGTTAGTACAAAAAATAGTGCAATAAATCCATCTGATCCTAACTTGTATGTACGTGAAGTGCAACAACATCCTCAGCAAGCGTCTTCATCAAGAACGCCTTTTAATGTACTTGATACCAATACTAGTAGTGATTTTAATACACAAAGACAAGAAAGGAGCGAAAATACATCAAATTGGAAAACCTATATATGTAAAGTTTGTGGTGAACCAGGTCACAATGCTAGGACATGTAATAAACAAAATCAATGATATATAGCCAATTAAATTTAGTTATAATATTGATTTTTGTACTTTGTCTTTTATTAAAAAAAAAAAAATTTTTTTGATCGTAAAAAATGTCGAAGTCACATGATTTTATAATGTCACGTGATACCGGTGATGTTAACCACCGGTTATAGTTATAAAAATTCTTTAATAAAATATATTAAATTAATAAATATATTTTATAAATTATATGTTATAATAAAAATTTAATTAGGTTAGAAGATTGATTTGCTTATTTTTATATAATTTTTAAGGTTAGATATCAATAATGCTTAGCGATCATAATAAAAACCTATGCTTAAAGCTACTAATAAAAAATATTTTTGGGACCTTACCAGAACCCCGAACAATATATATAAAGGTAGGTTTTGAGTTTGCTTAACCAACATATAAAAATTTTAGATTTATTATTGCTTATTTGATAACATAATTTAAATAGTCAGATATAATTATGCGTAGCAGAGTACTAAATTATTAATAGTCAGATATATATTTGCGTAGCAGGATAGAATTTTTTAATATATATATATAATTATCTGGAGCGAAGCGATGGACTATATATGTTTATGAACCTTAATGACATATTGGATCATGTGGCGATATCCGTTTGTCCGCACGCGTCATTTCTGATTGGTCTGCACAGATTGTGTCATTGAAATTTCGTGCTACTTCACAAATAAACAAGTGTAATAATCATAATAAGTTTATAATAAACATGATTACCTGATAATCTCTTTTTTTATTTATTTTTGGTTAGTGAGTATATTTTTTTTTAATTGACTTCAAAGGAATGTTTTTGATTTATTTCTTATTCTTTTTCTAGGATTTCTGGATTTCTTGTACATACTGGACTTTAAAGGTAAATTAGGAAGTGGAGGGTTTTTTATTTGTTTAACTTTAAAGAAACGTTTCTAATGTTTCATTTNCTTATTTGTTTAACTTTAAAGAAACGTTTCTAATGTTTCATTTTTTATTTTTTTTAGGGACGCCAGATTTTTTGTACAAATTGAGTTTTTAAAGATATTTGGATTTTTGTACAAAATCTTTCGCTCTGGACTTACAACGGTTTCCGTTTCCTAGTATAATATATATTTATATTTTCACATTAAAAAAATCTAATAAAATATGTAAACAAAGTTATAAACATGTTTGTATAAAAAAAATTTACTATTTTTAATACAAAGAATAAGTTAATTGTATACGTAATACAGGAAACATTTTAGACGTGATCGTGTAATGTGTTTTTGACAAAACAAATACGCGTCTGCGTAATATTAAAATCATAAATCATATACGTGTCCGTGTAATATTTAAAAAATATATATTGAAAATGAGAGCAACGGGTGGGTGGGAAGGAAAAATAAGTGTTTTTCTGTTTTTTTATAATTTTACACTATAATTTTTGTAATAATCAATAAAAGTTATTTCATTTTTACTTAGAAAATTTTTTAAAAATATTTTTTTTGACAAATTTTACAGTAAAATAAAAATTCCGCGTATTGGTGGCGTTACAAAAAACATGAATAAATCCATAAATATCTATTCAATCATAATAAAAATTGTAAATTCGAACCTGCTGAACAACTTTACTTAAGAAGGTTTTGGATGTTTCCTTTGACTAAAGTGCCTAAATTATGCTCTGAAGTCACAGAACAGATATACGAAATATTAATAAGAAACATTTATAAGTTGTAATATTACAAAAAAATAATAATAGCTTTATCTATACATTATTTCAAAAATTTTTGTTTTTTTAGTTTTTTTTATATACATATTTTATAAAAAAAATTATATATAAATATATATATGTCATAAAATAAGTTGCTTAGCAGTGTAAAAAATTTATGGGTTAGATAAAAGTTTGCTTAGCAGACATGAAAAATATTTGCT